TCAAGTGCAACGCTGTTCATCGATCAAGCAGCGATTTATTGGGTTACTTACATGACTTGAGTGTGCCCCACAACCACAACCACAAGCCTCAATCCCCCGATCTGCAAGCCGCTGATCCGCGGCGGGTTGCTCGCTTAAGTCTTTTGTTTGTAACGACTTTGGTTGCTTTGTTCGCTACTCGCCGTCCGTTTCCCATTCATAACAATAGCGAAATGGGTGTGACTCGTGGGTGCAAATCTTTTTGGGTAAATCTACGGATCGGCGGAGAAGGAGGCATGCAAATGAATTACGATCGAAGTGATTTCTGTAAGCAACCGAGTAAAAAAGTGAAAGAAAGAGCGGCGGAAAGACAATGGGCCAGTGATGTGTGGCCAAAATTTCGTCTATAAATACAAATGCATCGGCAGTTCAATTATTATTCAAACCACGCACTCCACAGAAGGAGGACACAGTCTCGCTTCTTTCGCTCTGCAATTTGCCAACCAACCTCAAACACTCTCCAAATGGCTTTCAAGGTAAGCCAAGGCTGATGTAATTCGCACCTGGCAACTGACTACAATATTTTCTTACCCTTCCAGCTCGTTGCCTTGCTTTCCTGCTGCCTGGCAGCCGTGTCGGCTGGACTTATCCCTGTGGAGCAGCACGAGCAGCATCCCCAGCTATACCAGGCCCAACAGCCCCAGCATGTGATCTACCAGAAGCAGCACGAGATCCATCCCCACGGCCATGAGGTGTATCCCGATGATCCTCACCCCAAGTACAACTTCGCCTACGATGTGCAGGATGCGCTGTCCGGGGACTCGAAGAGCCAAGTGGAGTCCCGTGATGGGGATGTGGTGCAGGGCGAGTACTCCCTGGACGATGCCGATGGTTTCCGCCGTACTGTGAAGTACACCGCCGATTCCGTCAACGGATTCAATGCCGTCGTGCACCGCGAGCCACTGGCCCATGTGCACCACAAGGTGGTGGCTGCTGCTCCCGTGCAATACCACCACGCCCCTGCCGCCCCCGCTGCCGTCATCAAGAGCTATGCCTCCCCCGCCCAGGCCTACGTCGCTCCCACCTACGCAGCCCCCGCCTACACCGCCCCCGCCTACACCACCCACCAGGCTGAGCAGCCGCAGGAGCATCAGCAGCACCACTACGCCAGCTACGAGTCCCCCGCCCACTCCCAGGCCGCCCACGAAGGTCACGAGTACTACCACCACCAGTAAGCGGTTTCCAGCTGCAGATCACCTGACTAGCGAAAGTATTATCGTGCATCCCATTGTGCTCATTTAGCTCATTATCATTATCATCAAGTTCTGTTGATTAGTCGTAGTCTGTTTGTAAATATTCCCAATAAAACTTGCATATTTCTGCGTAGACGATTTGGTTAATTCATTTCATGATGATACATTTTGTATTAGTCTCGGGACAATTAGTTTAAGAAACTTATCCTGTATTCATAAAAATAAAAAGAGATTTATAATACAAGCACAAATTATTTCGTTTAAATTTTTTAATAAAGTCAATCTGTTTATGGCTTAACTCGAAACTTCAAATTCATTTGAAAATACATTAATGATTACCCAACTCGGGTTTTGTGTGTGTATAAATACAGTTTTTCAAAAAACCTTCGAGACTTTGTCATTGGAATGTCAAGGTCAGATCAGAGCCAAATACTCGAATTAATGATTCGCCTTATATCATATCAAATCGTCTTAAGCTGACCTGTTTAGGAATGTATTCATATGGAATCGTGTTCTCTTGGGATAACATTCAGCAATATCCATCTCAAGCTAGCTTACCGATTCATGTGATTCTGCAAGCCCCTTATAAATAAAAAGTGCGTACAAAGAGAAACAATTGTCACTAATTTTATGAAGTGTGAGATTAACATTTTAAGCACTTGGCTAGTATTTCCCGATTGGTCATGATTAGCGTAAGCAATTTAGCGCGAATATTTGTCGTGCTCGATTTTCGCACTTCAGTGGAGAGGGGTAAATCGAGACCGGTTTTCAGACTTGCCAAAATATCCGGTAGCAACAATCGCACTTTTTGCAATTTTAATGTCGCACTTGAATTGAATCTCAAATTACTTGGGACATACTCGTATCTGCTGGTATCGAGTCCGGCAACTACTTATACACAGGCTCCGCCGCTGACTCGGACCCGAAATATGTGTGTCCAATTGCGGCCAAGAAATAATTTGCTCCACATTCCCACACAAAGGTCTAGCGCAACCACATTAGCCAGACCTTTTGGCCTTTCGCTCCTCTTTGTTAGCCAGCTTGCTCGGTTTGGACTTGTCTTTGGCAACGGTTGAGTGTCGGCACAGGGGGATAATGGTCGACAGCCTCGGCACTGGCAATGCCCACCTTGGATCCCATTGAAATCACAACATGTGATATCTTGTTAAATGTGCTCCAAAATATGGAATTCTTATATTACGATTAAAGCATCTACCTTAATTTACGTCTGTATTAAGTTTGTATCTTTTCGAATTTTCCATAAACATTTGCCTTAAATTTAAATAAATCTGTCTGCTCATATGAACGTCGGGATCTCGAGAATTTTTAATGCTAGATTAGGCCAATTGCTTGATCTCCATTTCCCTCGCACTTTCTTTAGCTGAGTAACATGTATCTGATAGTCGGTTATTTCATTAAACTTAGTTTGCTCACTCGGAGAAACTTGTATTAATAATAATAAGACAACCATGCAGAGTTATGGTTAAAAAAAAATAAAGTAATATAGTTACACAAATAGCTAATCATAATAAATTAATGTTTAATATTTATGAGTAATTATTAGCCCGAAAAGGTTTATACATCAATAGTAAATCTTACAAAAAAGTCTAAAGCGAACAACCTTTTTTGTGTTGACTCTAAATCTTCATTGATTAAACATAATTTCTTTTGCAATATCAAAATAAGCAGGATATTATTTTCCTTCAGTGGATAGTTAAATGAACCAAACAAAAATAAGAAACATTATCAATAGCCTATAAACATAAAAATAAATAATGCAAAAAAATATAGCTGCCGGTTTTATAAGTGCTACATAATATTTTTCAGTCTGTCTTCATAGGTATTAAATATGGCTAAGACATCCAAATGACTTCATTATAACCTGATAAAACAAATACGAAATTCGATTGATGAATAGATACAGATTTCTTGCCTTAACTTATAGCTTGAATTCATTTGCAAAATACATTCAAATTTCAATAATAATAATGCCTTATTATCGCAATTGATTCGTGCGAATCAACAAAATCAAGAAAGCATTTGTAAATAGTATTTGTGTGTATTTGTAGGAGGCGATCGTAAAACTATAACAGTAATGGGTTGAGAAACGTAAAATGGCAGTTCTTAGTGGTGGTAGGCAACAGCGGGGGCGGCGTAGGAGGTGTAGGTGGCGGGAGCGGCGTAGTGAGCCACTGGAGCCACGGTCTTGACCACAGCGGGAGCAGCGTAGTGGGCAACTGGAGCCACGGTCTTGACCACAGCGGGAGCAGCGTAGTGGGCGACAGCAGGGGCGGCGTATTGGGCAACGGGAGCGGCGACGGTCTTCACAACTGGAGCAACGGCGACGGCCTTGACGAGGGGCTCACGGTTCACGACGGCGTTGAATCCGTTGATGGGGTCGGCGGTGTACTGGACGGTCCTCTTGTAGCCGTCGGCGTCGATCAGGGAGTACTCTCCGCGGACCACGTCTCCATCGCGCTCCTCCACCTGGCTCTTGGAGTCTCCAGAGAGGGAGTCCTGGACATCGTAGGCGTACTTGTACTGGGGATGGGGATCGTACTCCTCGGCGGCCTTGGCCAGAACAGGCTGGGCGTGGGCAACGGCCACAGGGGCGTGGGCGTAGGTAGCTACAGCGGGGGCGGCGTGGTACACCTGCTGGACGGGAAGAACTCCGGCGCTGGCGGCGGCAATCAGGGCGAAGAGGGCGATGAACTGAAAGAGGGATACTAGTTAGGATATGGGGTCTTTGGCGGGGCTAACTCCTCGAGGCGAACCTTGAATGCCATTTTGATTTGGATTGATTTGGCTGCTGCTGCTGCTGCTGTTGGTCGCTGGAAGGCAAAGTGAACTGTGAGGGCTACTGGGCCAACACTTGGCTTATATACCGAGATGGAGCTATTTCTTCAGCTGCTGCTGAATGGTTGAATGGTTGAATGGTGGAGCTTGCTTTTGCCAGTTGGTAACGCTCTTAGCGCAATTAGTGCAATTCATTTATGCTAAACGTGTGCGGAGAGGGAAAAGTGTAGCTGGAAGGCGTGCTCAATCTTTGTATCTCTGTGTTTTGTCATCAAATAACTTCAATTTTTTTGAGAGATACGGAAGGCGTGCGCTTTGACACCACCACTGGCTGAAAACAGTTAGCTCACAAGGCAGTTAATAATGTAAGATATGTCGCTTAAAATGTAATTAACTCAAACGTCTTACAAGCTATATTAAATTATTTATTACAATTTTGTATGGACATGGTTCAACAAATTTGAAGATAGTATTATTTATGTATTATGTATTATTTATTGCACATTAATAAAATTGTACACTTTATTTTGAAATTTTATAGGTAATCACTTTATTATTTAATAATTCAATTATGATCTTAATATTAATTCAACATTGTTTTCTCGTGAACGGACAAATATTCAAGTATTCATAGCATCGGAACTATTACATAATATTAAAAAAACCATTTTACATAAAATAGTTCAGTAAAACAGTCACACACCTGTACTCGAAAACGTTCTTGTGTTATTCATCAGATCCAGAAATTTGAATAATTTTTAAATGGAAAATAGTAATTAAAATTGGTCTGGCGTAATCAATTAAGTGCAGCGGGTTACTTCAAGAGAGCACTTTCAAGTTGGCAGAACCGAAGAAGGTGCGTGACAAATTTTACATGCCACCGGCGCCGCTCGAGGTGATGCGCCAAAAATGAATTCCAATTAGGTGTCATCAATGTCACCAAGTAGCGTATAAAATCCACGGCCCACACTGGGTCAGACATTCAGTGTTTGGCTTCGGCTCAAGACAGCAGTTAATCAAATTCATCCGAGCTACAATGGCAGCAAAGGTTTGTGCTACCAATTGAAGGATACACGTTCGCGGGGATTACCAGTGGATTCCAAAACACCTGCCGTCCTCGAAAATATCCTAAAAACCGTGTTTTTTATTCCACAGATTGTTATCGCTTTGGCTCTATTCGCCGTGGCCCAGGGCGCCGTTCTCAGAACAGCTGCTCCAGTGGCAGTGGCTCCTGCTCCGGTACCAGTTCTGGCCAAGACCGTTGAGCTGGAGGAGGTCGATCCGCATCCCCAGTACACCTACAGCTATGACGTGCAGGACGCTCTTTCCGGCGACAACAAGGGGCACGTGGAGGAGCGCGATGGTGACGTCGTCCGCGGAGAGTACTCCCTGATCGACGCCGATGGCTTCAAGCGCACCGTGACCTACACCGCCGATTCCATTAACGGATTCAACGCCGTCGTCCGCCGTGAACCCATCGCCGCTGTTGTGGCCGCCGAGCCGGTGGTGAAGGTCGCTGCTCCATTGGTCAAGGCCGCTGCAGTCGCCCCCATAGCCCCCATCGCCCCTGCCGCCCTGGCCGCACCAGCTCCCATTGTGCGCTCCGCTCCAGTGATCGCTGCTGCTCCTCTGGTCAAGTCCGCTCGTCTGGCAGTCGCCGCGCCCTTCGTCCGCTCCGCCCCTCTGGCGGTGGCCGCTCCCGCTCCTGTCCTGCGCACCGCTGCATATGCCACGCCTCTGCGGTACACCGCCCCCGCGTACACCGTCGCCCACTTGTAAATAGCATGCGACCGTTGTTATTCTGATCCCTTGTTTTGTTTCTATGATAATAAAATGTGATTTGTTATGTTAATTTTAATTGTGGTTTGTTTGGGCACAGAACCTAAGTTATATTGTCAGCATTTAATTTTTATCTGCCGATATAATTTTAAGCTGTATTATGTATTATCTGTAGGAACGCCTTATTTAACCTTCCAGTTTGCTTGAATGCCTTGAGCAGGTTGGTTTATTCTTGATACTTGAAGAGTGTATCTTAAGATATTTCTTCAATTCGTCTGTTTTTTAATTCAAAATAAGTAAGAGTAAATAAGTAAGTAAGAGTCAGTTCCAAGCGTTTTGTAATCCTGAGCCACCCAAGAGATCGTACCGCTAACATGATACACCACTCAAGGCAGAATGGTGAAAGCGGCTGATTCGCAATAGCCCGCGGAGGGTCAGATAGACACCAAAATCCGAGGGTCTCGTCTAAGCCACTAAGCCGCACCAGATCGCATAAAAGTATGTGTGGCCCCTGGCGTGGGCAGTTGTAATTGCCCCTATTCCAGTCGATAAAATAATAAGTTAAAAAGCATGGCAGCACTGCCATAATAAATGTAAAAAATCAAAAGTGACAAAACTGATTTGCCCAGCAGCGAAGTAATCAGTTTCAATTCGTTATTCGCATTTTGCTTTTGCACTGTTTCAGTGGGTATAAAAAGCAGTGCCCGCGGTCCAGTAAATCATTCCACAGCTTCTCTGTCTTCGCAGCAGTTAACCACGGATAGCAGCCAGCCCGCTCCCAAGTCTAAAGCCATGGCCTTCAAGGTGGGTAATCCTTACCTGACAGCCCGATCCTTTCCATTACCTCCCATTCCTCCCGCAGTTCCTCGCTGTTCTCGCCCTCGTTTCGGCCGCCAGCGCCGGAGTTCTTCCCGTCCAGCAGGTGTACCACGCCGCCCCCGCTGTAGCTACCTACGCCCACGCCCCTGTGGCCGTGGCCCACGCCCAGCCGGTTCTGACCAAGGCCACCGAGGAGTACGATCCCCATCCCCAGTACAAGTTCGCCTACGATGTCCAGGACTCCCTCTCCGGGGACTCGAAGAGCCAGGTGGAGGAGCGTGATGGCGACGTGGTCCATGGCGAATACTCCCTGATCGATTCCGACGGCTTCAAGCGCATTGTTCAGTACACCTCCGACCCCGTCAACGGATTCAACGCCGTCGTCAACCGGGTGCCCCTGGAGCACGTGAAGACCGTGGTGAAGACCGTGGCACCTGTGGCCGTTGCTGCTGCTCCTATCCCAGTTGCCTACCACCAGCACCACTAAGGAACTCTCCTGCTGAATTGTGGAGTCTGTTTGTAATCAAATAAATTGTTGAATATTTGTAAGCTGAAGGAAATCAAAACGCATTTTACCTTGATTTACCTAAGGGGCATTAGCAGGCATACGCCATATGAAGTCGTATATACATTAATATAATATATATTGAGAAAATATTAAAAATCTAGCCCAAGAGTTACAAGAAGACATCTTAAGTGACCATCAAATTGAAGCAACCCATGTGCCACGTCAATGGATCCGCTTACTCCGCATTGCCTTGGTGCCTCTTAAGTCCCTATAATCAATTTTCTGACGGTAATAAGTCATTAAGGGCCCAAATTGATCAGGCGTTCGCGTCCGACCCATTTTACACCAATCAACGAAAATTGGGGTAGACATCCGATCGGAAAAAACGCATCGATCGGAACATTTCAATAAAACCATCTGCGTCGAAGGCTTATTGAATTTAATGCATGTAATGCGGCCGCTCTTGGAAACCTGTTAAGGTCACTTAGTTGCATCTTTGAAGCGGCCAGAAACCTTTCGCCAAGTCCCTCGCTTTTTGGGTCCGCTTGAGAATGATATACGCGACATCATGGGACACGAATTGTTTTCCTTATCTGGCCAGCCGCCTTTCCAGCCTGGACAAGTGCAAATATGCCAAGGTACCGACGACGGACGGCGAGGGTTAAGGTCAAAGTCAGTTGGCATGGCTGATTACCGTTGGAGCGAACGGACTTGGCTGCCCATTTCCATTCCCATGTTTAGCATGTAAGTACATGGGCCGGAGATCCACGCCACCAGTTCAGATTTAATGGCAGTGCGCATGCGCAACTCGCGGCGAGGCCCATAAAGTTAACCTGGCGAATTGCAATCATGCCCGTGTCGCATTGAAACCAGACCAGACTTAAGGCCCCGTTTACACCGGCTGCGTGAATGAGTAAACGGCTGTGGGGCTTCCCTCGTTAAATTTATATGCAATGGAACCACTTTATGGGCCTTACACTGGTCGCTCTAAGCGCTTCTGGCATTGCCTTTGCTCTTTGTCGCGCATTTTGTGCGTTCTTGGACGTGTTGGACTGCGGCTTCGCTGTCCACTTAGCGACATTACCTCATTGCCTCTTTATTGTGGCAGTAAGTGGTGTTTTGTCAGTAGCTGTCGCTTAACACGCGTTCTTTCTTCAGGGACGGCCTTGAAGGTAATCGTGGGAGAGTGAAAGTGAAAGTTTCGCTTGTAGCCGAATCCAGAAGTTAATTAAATGAGGATTGTATCTGATTGTAATGTAGTGAATGCTTCCCGGAGTGGCAGAGGGAATATACAATTGGGATGTTGGGAAACAAAAGCCCGTATTATTTTTATTATAACTTCTTACTATAAGAGTAAGGTACCGTCATTATAATGACAGAGTTATAGAACTCAAATTAAATGCAAAAAATTTCTATAAAAATGTCCAGTTAAAAAAGTAAAAGTAAAAAAGTAAAAAAAAAAAAGTAAAAGATTTCAAATGTCTAAGAGAAACAAAAAAAATATTTTCATTAAATCATTCCATAAAACAATTGGTAATGGTCTATATCCTTTATCATTCCTTTATCCTTTTCATTCATATGATAGCGTTATTGGCTCTAATATAATATAATATATGGCTCTAATATCGTTCGTGTCTGACATAATAAATGCTAGGAACAACAGAACTGCTATGCAGATAATTCAGATTATCTATATATTATTAACTCAGATTAGTAACGAAGCACACAAATTCCCAAAAATATAAGCAGGTGGATAGTCATTCAATTAGATCACATCCTTTATTTCAATAACAACTAACGGCAATTGTCGGGTCGTGGAGGCCTATTCAGCATTTCAATAGGCGTACGAGATAAGAGGCGAAGCGAACTGGGTCTTGACGATGGCGGGTCCAGCGGCGACCAGGGGAGCGGCCTTGACGACGGGCGCGGGGGCGGCGTAGGCGAGGGGAGCTGGGGCGGCGGCGTAGGCGGCGGCCAGGGGGGCGGCACGGACCACGGGGGCAGCGACGGCGGCACGGACAACTGGGGCTGGAGCGGCCACCACGGCGGCGGGAGCGGCGGCAACGGCGGCCACCAGGGGCTCACGGCGCACCACTGCGTTGAATCCGTTGATGGGATCGGCGGTGTAGTCCACAATGCGACGGTAGCCATCGGCGTCGTTCAGCGAGTACTGGCCCTGGACAATGTCGCCCTCGCGAGTCTCCACCTGGCTCTTCGAGTCCCCGGAGATGGCGTCCTTGACGTCGTAGCCGTAGGTGTACTGGGGATGGGGGTCGTACTCCTCCACCTGGGCCACGGCGGCCAGTGGCGCTGCGGCGGGAATGATGCCAGCGCTGGCCACGGCGATGCAGGCGGCGAAAAGAATGGTGAACTGCAATTGTTCAAGAGAGTGGCTATAATTAGTTTGAATATCAAAAACCGAGGCTTCTTTTAGAGTTTATGCGTCATTCGTGCATTAGTTGCAGCTCCGAAAATGTAATACAAGAGAAATCCATTTGATTGCACTGATCAGTAGATCTTCATCACTGATTCATCACTGTCTCCAACGCCACAGAACTTTGTCCTTACTTTGAATGCCATTGTTGGTTGTTTGGTTGCTCTAGATACCGAAATTGGTGGTGAACTGATTTGAACAGCGTCCAACTGGGGCTTTTATACCGCCTCGATGGCACTCTGCCCGGTTCGATGTCAGCGACGTGCACTTGCGTCACAGAGCCACGCCGCTCATACCAAGTGCGCGCCGCTGAAGACTAGAAGCGGCGCTTGCAGGGGAGTGCTGGGGGGGAGCGGGCCATGGTTTGGGGTAGGACAGCGGTGGGCGGCACGCTGCCAAGGCTGCGCGGTGACAAAGCCGCGGCGAGCATAATGCCTTCTTGATTGAATTGGACTCGAGCGGGCAGCGCAGCCGATTTAATATTGGCCTCAGAAGTCGCATACCCAAACGTGCACGTCCGCGCTTACGTCCCCTGCCCCAGAAGCCCCCGCCCCCCCCCACGATCCAGCAGCTATGATGATCGCTTTCGAAAAGTACTCGCTCGCTAATAGCCGCCATATCGTATGCAGCGCATGCGCAAATGCATAACAACGGTTTTTCAAATTGGCTGTGCACTTGCAGGCCGGGCGGGCACCCATGCCGATTTCCAATCCCAATCCCGATCCCCTGCCCAGCGCACTTTGAGTAGCCCCAACCCCCACCGACGACCTTAAACGTTTGTTGACGCTGGCTGTCGCTCCAGTTGGACGCTAATTGGATTTCGAGCTTAACTTTAGTGCGACACCTCACTTCCGAATGCCCACCCAAAAAAAACAGAAGTGACTGCGGATGTTTTGGCGGCATGCTCGCTGGGAGCTGAGCAGTGGAACGCCCATGACACGAGCTTTTATGTTCTTACGTGTTACGTTGGAATCGGTACTGATACTCCTTATAGGAAATCATGCTCGTTGTTTTGAGTGGAAAATATATCACATTTGGTTTCAAGAGATTTATTGGGGCTCTAGAACACATAGGAAATGGCCTGGGGGTGATGAGCGTGGTGCACGGTGGTCTTCAGCACAGGAACGTGGTGAGAAACGAAGGAGTGCGCTGGAGCGGAGTGGTGCACGACATGGGTCACTGGGGCATGGTGGATCACCGGAGCAAAGGAGCGGTGCACCACAGCCGATGCCTGGGAAAGCGGCTTCAGGGCGGGCAACTTCTTCAGAGGCTGGAGCTGAACTTTGGGAGCCACCCCCGCAACCAGCGCGTCACCAGACAGTGGTTCCCGACGCACCACTGCGTTGAATCCGCGGACGTCATCGGCGGTGTAGTCCACGGTTCGTCTGTAGCCATCGGCATCATTCACGCTGTACTGACCGCGGACCACATCGCCATCCCGAGACTCCGATTGCGACTTGACGTCTCCGGTCACTGGATCCTGAACATCATAGTTGAATGAGTACTGCGGATGCGAGTCATAGCTGTCCCCACTTCCGGTTGTCTTCGCGGGCAGTAGACCAGCTTGAGCCAGGCTGATGACGGCCACAAATGTCGCAATCTGTACGGGTCATACGCTTAGATTTATACCAGCATACATATAGAGCGCATGACATACCTTGGTCAACATGCTGATCGAACTTGTAGGTAGAATTCGGTTTGCTCCTGTCGGTAGTTGATTTTACACAACTTCACTGCGGTCCCTACATCGGCTTTTATACTGCGTCGGCTGCTTCCTTCCCGGCGACCCAATGCCACAGTGCCCTGCTTCTGCGTCTGGATCTTAACAAGGTCATCGCGGGACCTCCAGCCCAGTCTCTTTGTACACCGCCTAATTGGCGTTGAGATGCCCCAACAAGTTTATCCGGCCATCGACAGGTTTTCAGGCCGTTTTTTACATGCTGTCGGGATATGGGCGCTTTTCATAATTTCGCGCAGTCATTCCGAACCAAAATTTGTAGAATTTTTATGTTTTTTATTAACCTTCTTGCAATTTAAGGACAACTTGCAAATACAATAATAATCGCATTATTCGCAGATAAATAATTTTTGAAAATGAATTTCGAATTTCTGTAGACCTTCCTACCGATAAAATTGTATACAGATCAGCGAAGAAAACTCAAAATTTTAGGCACCACTCTAGAACATTTTGCCGATCGGACATGCTATTGTTGCTCAAATATCAAAAATGCTCAAAATGCAAATGTTTGCAATAATATATTGTGAATTTATACTCTATTGCTATAGTTTACTAGTTGTAGTTTTGGATTGAAATATAAAAACCAATACATATTGGGAAATTTCCATATATCCTACTTCCTCGAAAACAACACTTAAAATGCATTGATTTATATTTTAATAAAGTTAAGTTTAATGCTCAACCAAGTAGTTTGACAAAAATATTTGATTAATCTCAGTCAGCCCAAAAGTATGCAGAAATACATTTTTCTTGTTGAACAACAGGTGGTGCTACATTTTCTGATTTCTCTTTTCTATCATACGCCATCCCTTAGAAATAACTAAAAAAATACAAATCAAAATACAAAAGATACAAAAACGCTCTTTTAGTATACATTTTATAAATCACTCTTTATTTTACATATTATGGTATACATTAGTATATATGGTATATACTACATATATACTATGTACATTGTAAAAAAAAATGTTTAATTCAGACTACAATGTAGCTTAATGATTAATGAATAGTAATTAGGGAAATTCGTTAAGTTACCTTACAGACTAACATGATAGCGTCACAAATGTTTTCCCTTGCCTGTTTTCTTCGCAATGATTTTCTTCTATGCAATGATATTTGGCAATATTCGCCAAAGTGCCAGCCTGCCAATCAACAAATAAATCCTAAGCCTAAGCATCACTTCGATTTCCTTGTTCAGCTGCTTTTCACAAATATCGCACTTCGCCAGGGAAACGGGGGTAGAAAGTTGTTTTTGATAGACTATGCAGCGGTAGGGGCTGTTCCATGGAAGTCTGCTCCGATTGGTTCACTTCTGCTGCGAAGCGGATAAAGAGAGTGCGCAGACGGTTGTCTCGCTTTAACTTTATCCGATTCAAAAATGAAAGACTTACAGTGCCATAGGATTTTCTTAATGCCCGCTGGCTTTGTTATCAATTACAAGCCGGTTTTAGCATAATTTTGCATATTAAACAGTCAAGGTCAATCACAAGTCCTTTTGCTATGCCTATCGCGCCCAAATTACACCAAAGATTAAATTAAGTAAACATAATAAGTTTGTTGTTTACAATCCACAATACAATTATTATCCACTGAAGAAAACAAATCAGTCTTTGAAACTGGCAAAGTTTAAAAACCGCTTTCATTGATTTCATGTTTATTGTTATTTATTTTAAAAAGAGTTCCAGTCAACTATATTTGCTGCTCTGCAGTTTAAGGACTTTCTGGACGACTCTTTGTATAAAATTTGTAACTATGTCACAAGGAAGTATTTCCAAAAACTCATATACCATAGAATATAGAATAGAATACAATATAGAATAGAATACCAAAGAAAAGTCAAAATTTAAGTAATATAAAATTATTTTTGATGGAAAATGTGTGTTTTAGATGTTAGTACAGCCTGAAGGAGCTGTTGTTACACCCTTGCAGAGGTTTTTATTATTATAGTCAGTTGCAGTGTCCTTCCTTCCTCATAGAAGTTATACATACATATTTTACATTCCGTTAACGTTTTACGTAAACAAGTCCTTCACATTTCAACACTCACACTTATAACCATTGAAACTATCCATACGAAGAACAATTTTATGACTTTGATGAATATCATATGATTTATGTATTCCTTTTAAGTAACTAATTAGGTGTGAAAATAAATATATGCAGTACTATGGACTTATATTTTTCCGAAGTACAGATAATAGTTGTTCGAGCAAAGGTTACCCGTAGAGTAAAGTTGTATATTAGATTCGTTAAAAAGTATGTAACAGCTGGAAAGAAGCGTTTCCGACCATATAAAGTATATATATTCTTGATCAGGATCACTGGACGAGTCGATCTGGTCATGTCCGTCTGTCCGTCCGTATGAACGTCGAGATCGCCGGATATAAAAGCTAGACTTTCTGCAGATTGCAGATATATAGACGCAGCGCAAGTTTGTTGCCCCATTGGTGGCTGAAAAATGTGTTGAAATTGATTCATTTTTTTATTTGTGTTCCCAATTTCTATCGATATGCTAAACATATTTTCTATAAAGATTTCTCTCTTGTTTTGTGCTAGTTTTTGTTGAGTCCGTCGTTATGTTAAAGATATTGTTATATTTTAATGGGTATATGCTAGTTTGATTTGATTCAAGTTTTAAACCTTAAAAAAATGATATGCTTAAGAAACGAAAAATGAACTGAGTAAGTATTTAAACATAAACATGCAATTTTGGACTACAAAATTAAAGGAAACACTTTAATAAGGTTTGAGGCGACTCATGTCGCCGACTCGAAGCCACCGACTTATATTGAGAAAATTCCATACAAATTCTAAAAAATAAGGCGCCCACAATTACAGGTATCAATCAAGAAAATACTGATCGTATCCCCGCAAAGAGTTTTGGAATTAGCCGAAAAATGAACATGTGATGAATTCAGCAACTGATTGGGGCAGAAAGCTTAAAATCATATTCATAAACTTAATGAGTTCGCCGGGCCCGAATTCAAATTCAATTAAAGGGGCGGCGTTCGGGCGACCAGTTAGGACAACTTGGCCCGTATGCAACAGGCATCCGTCGCCGTCTCAGCAGAGCCTGATAAACTAAATTTGGTTAATTAATCATTACAGGAGCGAACAAAACGCCAGAGACAAAAGCTGCACAAAACCGAAAGCCCAGGAAAAAAACACGAAACGAAAAAATGGCACAAATATCGATTTACCAAAAATTACAAAGGAAACCCGAAAAGTACCGCCAAGTTTTGTTCTTGGAGCGGTGACAGTCGGCGCCGGGCAATCCATCAATTTGGTTGCAGTGCCAATTACGCCAGTTACTCGTCACGTCACGTCTCGAAAACCGGCGGACAGCGGACAGCGGCCAACGGACACCGAAAACCGGACAGATACGGGCTGCCGTGGGGCGACACCAGAGCTCCAGAGCTGTGTAACAACAATCGTATCGAACGAACGTAAATCGAACGGCGGCACTCCAAGTTATAGAGGTTTTGGAGCTGTAGCTGCGGCGCCCCCATCAACTTGGCGTCAGCTTGTGGTCAGTTTTCCACTATTCCGGTCGGCTGCAAAGGCTGACGCCTCTCGGGGCTGTTGGGAACGTCATCTAGCCCATATATCTTACTTCGGACGCTTTCATGGCGCTAAACAGACGTTGATGGCGCGACTTACAAATCCCTCGCAACGTATAAGGTGCATCGGGCACTTGGCTGGACATTTATATGCACTAATAGGTGGTGTGAAAATCGCTTTATGGTTAATCGATTGTGATATGATGATCTTTACAGATACACATGAATTTATAATAGGATTTGAGTGGAACTAATTGACTTAAAGCTCTATTAGATTATGATCAGAAATAATAAAAGCTTAGCATTGGAAAACTATTTGGTTTGCGGAGTGACTAGGCAGATAGCCTTTCTAAATGACACATTCTACATTCCAGAGTAAATTGTAACACTTTTTAACTTTTACGTTTATTGTTATGTGTTATGATATAGTCTTAGGAGTGCCGGTCTCTCGAAATAAGACAAGAAAATATATTTATTCGAAATTTGAATTCAAAGCAAGAGTGCTGGGCATATATTTTAAAATTTTCTAAAAAAAAAATGGGCGCGACAGTGTTGGGTGTCGCCAAAATTCGCTACAACCTTAACTTATGTCTCTAATGTCTTAACTTATGTTTTTAAAGTCCCCGAAATTAGAGCGTTCATAAAGAAAGACGGATATGGCCAGATCTACTCCTAACCAAGAACATAAGGTCTTTATAAGGTCGGAAACCCATCCTTCGACCTGTCACTTACTTTTCTACTGCTACTTTACTCTAGGAGTAACGGATATAAATTTATTTCCATCGCAAAAGCAACACATGAAGGCTCGACAATTTACGCAAAAAGTAATGTTTTTATTATAATTATTATCATTTTACAATAAAGTATTTAAAATTGCTTGTAAGACCTTTACACATAAATTAAATGTTATACCAAAATGTTTTTGATATACCGATAGAAAATAAGAAAATAGTAAAACAAAATAATATCAAAACATTTTTCAAAAGTGTATGTTTTTGGCGATTTGTGGGCGTTCGAGTGGGCGGGGCAACATCAGGACATACTTGCGCTGCAAATATGTCTCTGGAATATGTATACTTTATAAGGCCCGTTCCTTCTACCTCTTACATACTCTTCAACGAATCTAGTATACCCTTTGAGTCTACGAGTAAGGGGTATAAAATGGAGACCTTATACTGTAATACTACTTCTAGTATTTCCTATAACTTGTTTATTGCAGGAACATTTTGATGCAAGAATATGTACATATAGAAAGTAAGGGAACGGTGGTAGATATAGCTCGCACAAAACATAAGTATAAATACCTTTACTTCACTTTTTAAGGCAAGAATTTGTGGTTCGCATTTGCGATTGTTAAACAACTGTATGCTGTAACTCCCCAGTAATTGTCATAAATTATCCCAATCCTAACAAGGATACCCTAGCCTTACATGTATTTCGCGTTAGCCATGTGAGACAGTTTCAGGCTTGGGATCGGGATTGGGCCGTGTATTTTAGTATTTTAGTAGTGTACATAATACATACATATGTGTGTATTGAAAGACACTCGCACACATCCTGTTACTATTAATTGCTGCTGTCCGAAAATATAACAAATCACCTTGGAGCGTTGGGCAGGACCGCCCGAAAGGACGAAACGAATGGCCACTCCAGTCGACCCCCCTCCTAAATTCCCCGTGCGAGTGTAGAGACAAAAACTTGTGAAAATGTCAATCAAGTTGAACAAAAACGAAAAATTCCCAATCCGAAAGAGGAAGGAGCGAACCACGAAGTTTTCCAGACAGCCAAAGATGATGCATTGTGCGTGAAAGGTGCATGAAGATATCTGACGGTTGTATCTCTATCCCTGCCAAGTGACAGACCCATACACCGGATAACTCTTAGGGGGCGCCTACGAATTGCATCCCACTGAGTCAGAGTCAAGGTCCGGAGATAATGTCAGGAATCGGGGTCTGCCGGGGTCGGGGAAGTCGTTCGACGACGATTTAAATTCCACAGCGCGGCCATAGATGAGCTGTCATACGTGCAAATGACGATTGACAGCTGCCACAGTCAGCATCCGTTTGCAGCTCCTCCTGGTCGCAATCCCGGCCAGCTCCCAGGCCAAAAACCCATTCCTAGTGCCCGGTTCGCATTTCGAATCCCATAGCCAGCTCCTCTCCGTTACCTGTCCGTCAATTCATTTGGGAATTTCGAGGTGCTAAAACGTGCCAAAACCACAAAACAAATACACAACATTGGGTTTCCAGTTAAAACAAGACGTCGACATGAGCTGGTCAGGGGCGTAACTTTCAATACTATCAGCAGGCGGCAGGGGTGGATTACCTTGGACACGAACTGGGCCCAAAACATGTGCGAAAAGGTTTTCGGGGCGAAGAGATATCTACTATTTCTAATTAATAAATGCACATTTGCAAAGGATTTTAATTACACTTCTGAAACTATTCAGATATTTTTAGCACAGAGCACTCTATTTATAGCTGACATTAAATTCTAAAAACATCAATATAGATAACCATCTTTAGGATAACAATACAAGTTCCGAGAGTGCCTTTAGTAAAGCTCATATTCGAGCTAAGTTTTGAAATATTTTGAATTAAGTAGTGAATCCGCAGTATAACAATTTTCTAGAGATTTCTAGTACAACTGTTGTTTACTAAAAGCTGTCAAAGGAAAAGAAATAGTACGCCTAATTAATGGTAATTGACTGTTGGACTGATGATGTTGTTTTAAATTGTCAATTTAAAGTAAAACCTGAAGGAAGTTTCTTAAAAATGATTACATTTTTCAGGTGAACCGACAAGCTATATAAGTGTTTCGCAGTAATGAAGGACCATTTGGGGGAACAGCTTTCGGGTATATCAACTTCCGATCATCCCCAGCCAGTTCCACACCAGCCCATTGCGTAACTTCAAGTCCCTCGTAGAACTCCCATCTTGAGTAGCCGTCAATCCGCTCCTGCCATGGCGACAAGCAAAAAACGGGCAAACAGGGAACGAGAAAATCTAAATGGAAACGGCAACTGCCAAAAACCGGTAGTCGATATACGGGTACATATGTATATATGACTAACCCCCGAACCACTGATAAGGGCAGTCATCCGAGGAAGGCCTGGGAGAAAGCGAGACGGCAGTCGAAACACGTACGCATCAGCCACGAGCGGAAGCAGGATCGCAGGCTGCCTGCAGAGGGGCGTGGCCAAGACCAGCGGTTGTGCGCTCTGAAAGAAATCGGATTCGGGCCAGTAATCAGTCACGACTTGGTAAGCGCGCAGGCAGCACGTCGTCGTCATCGCCACCGGGAGTCGTGTTTTCGGTTCGATAGAGATAAAACCTCTGGCCGTCGCGTAATATTCTCTATTATTGGGAAGCAACTTGGGAAGCAACTGAAGTATTTCAAGAACTGTGTGGCAAGTGAAGAGTAGTCAGTGATACACCGGTCATATCGGAGTGGCGAGAAAGTGTGGTTCCGGCTGGACAATATGATGGACGTAAGCAGCATGTACGGCAACCACCCGCACCACCACCACCCACATGCCAATGCCTACGACGGCTACAGCAGCACCACCGCGGCGGCGGCCAACGCCAGCAGCTACTTTGCTCCGCAGCAGCACCAGCACCACCTGCAGCAGCAGCATCAGCAATTGCAGCAGCAGCACCAGCAGCACCTTACCTACAATGGCTACGAGAGCAGCTCCCCAGGCAATTACTATCCCCAGCAGCAGGCGCAGCTGACACCACCGCCCACCAGCAGCCACCAGGTGGTGCAGCAGCAGCAGCAGCAGCAACAGCAGCAGCAGCAGGCGCAGCAGCAACAGCTCTATCCGCATTCGCATCTCTTCAGCCCCAGTGCGGCGGAGTACGGTATCACGACGAGTGCGACCACGGGAAATCCGGGCACGCCGCTACACCCCACCAGCCACTCCCCGGCGGACTCCTACTACGAAAGCGACTCCGTGCACTCGTACTACGCCACCGCCGCAGTGGCCACAGTTGCTCCACCCAGCAACAGCTCACCGGTCACTGCCGCCAATGCAAATGCCACCGGCAACACACAGCAGCAGCAGCAACAGGCAGCGATCATCAGCTCCGAGAATGGGATGATGTACACCAACCTGGACTGCATGTACCCCACGGCCCAGGGTCAGGCCCCGGTGCACGGATATGCCGGTCAGATCGAGGAGAAGTACGCCGCCGTGCTGCACGCCAGCTACGCACCCGGACTGGTGCTGGAGGACCAGGATCCAATGCTGCAGCAGGCCACGCAGTCGCAGATGTGGCACCACCAGCAACACCTGGCCGGCAGCTATGCCCTGGACACCATGGACTCGCTGGGTATGCACGCCCACATGCACCACGGCCACATTCCCCACGGGCACCTGGCCAACTTGGCCAGCAGCTCGCACCAGCAGCAGCCACAAGTCCAGCAGCAGCAACAGCAGCCGCACCAGCAACCGCAACACCCGCAGAACCAATCCCCAGCGGCACAGCAGCAGCACCACCAGAACTCCGTGTCACCCAACGGTGGAATGAGTCGCCAGCAGCGCGGTGGAGTGATCTCCCCTGGCAGCTCCACCTCCTCATCCACCTCCGCCTCGAATGGAGCTCATCCTGCCAGCACCCAATCAAAGTCGCCAAATCATTCCAGCAGCATCCCCACCTACAAGTGGATGCAGCTTAAGAGGAATGTTCCCAAGCCCCAAGGTAAGTCGAGCTAGAAAGTAACTCAGAAAGGGTTTGGCATACTGTATTGGAATAATCGGACTATATTGGCTAATACTACTTTACTATATACTACTACTATTGAGATATTCAAATCAGATGATGTTATAAGGTCTACATTTAATAATCTCAATTTATTTCTAACACTGATCAAATTAAAATTGAAATCCCGCTAATTGTGATATTAACAAGAGATAACTCTATAGTCGCTAAATAGTTTTAACATTTTTCTGGCACATTTAACGAAATTAGGGTAAGAGATGATAAAATAAAGTTTGGGCGTGGCAGCTTAAGGCGGTTTGTGGGCGGTAGAGTGGGCGTGGCTTTATCAGGAAACAAACGCGCCGTTTTTGTCTCTGGAATCTCAATGTTTAATCTGTGCTTTCTGGCTATACGGACACACTTTATACGGACACACGGACAGACAGAAGGACATGGCCAGATCGACTCGGCTATTGATCCTGATCAAGTCCTGATCTACCTGTTACATACTTTTCAACGAATCTAGTATGCCCTTTTACTCTACGAGTAACGGGTATAAAAACGTAAATACGTGAACATTTCAAATGATGAGTTGTAGGGCTAGAGCGGAAGGATCCCCAAAATGTATCTGCCAATGTAAGGCCAATAGATAAAGACCCTCTAAATCAAACCCTCTAAAATGTTGTTCTTTGTAAATCGATACAAAACAGTTTTCCAAGAAATTCTGCGTTCTAAGCGTAACTAAGCTTGTCTCATTTGGCAAAGTATCTGGCAAATATGGAACCGCATTCCTTGTTAATTGCCATATTCTAGCTTTTTAACTCAAAAAGATCGCTCAATAGATCACATTTAGCATACGGAATATATTAAGTTTATCGGACATTAATTATGCAAAGAAACACACACTACTCAATACATACGAATGATGGTTTCTTTCAGAGAAAAGCATACGAAAGAAACCCAAGTAAATACCAAATAGCGTAAAACGATGACTTTCAAAACTGATTGACAGGCCAAGATACAAGAATCAGTCAACCAGTAAAACCAGAGAAAACGAATAAAAATGTGAAAGAAATGACGTCGAGCAAGCAGATTTAACAATATCACGAGTAAATTTATAAGTTCGGAAAACTTAGCCATCAACAATAGAATGATCACAAGTATGAACAATTAGCACTGCAGCAATATTAGCAAACATAAAGCGGCAAAATCTCAAGAAAGACGTCCAACCGGGGCATGTCACCTAAAAATATGCTTGTCTCTTCAAATGCCAAAGATTCCGCCCCCCTCCGCCCTCCTCTGCCCCCTCTCTACAGCCCCAGCTACGGAATCTCAATTCTCCCCGACCTCCACGCCCCTTTCCGCCTCTCACAACATCCGCCGTTCTCCTGGACTCTCCTTTGGAATATTTCTTGCATATTTCAGATAATTTTGTCAATGCCTGTGCAGTCAGTCAGGTTGTCACTTGTCACATTGGCGAGTGGAGTTTTGTATCTCGGAATTAGCCAGCTAAGAAAATGTGTTCGCTTTGATAAAAAAGATTCGAAAAGTCCATATTGTATGCGATAAATAAAACGTCGATTATCCAAAAGAAGCAGCTGCCACTGAAAAAACGAGTATTTTTATTGATACCCCGTGAATTGCATAAAATTCGAGCGTAAGCCTTTAATTGCTTTTCAAAGAGTTTGAGGTCAGCCGAATAAATAAATAGCAACTAACTGAATGGGGCAGACATGTTTATGGCTCACCCTGAAATTTGTAATATAATTGCTGCGAAAGGTTGGAGAACAAACTTGGGGTCGAGTTTTAAACAGACGAACATTTTGTACTCATTTTGGGTAAAATATAAATGCAGAACTAAACGAAAATTATATAATTTATGCTTTGGCCTGCTGAAAGGTTTTCCCAAAAACTGAAATATATATATTCTTGAAGGATTAGCTGCGCATTTGCTACCCACATTGCCATATTACAACCGTCCTCCCAAACCTGTTGACCAATTTCATTTGGCTTGTGGGCCTCCGGTAATGCACTTAACCTGTTCATGAATCGAGTTGCACAACTGACGCTGATCACTGATATCGGAGCATCGAGCCTCGGACCACTTACAGTTCAAACGTTAATCCCCGGCTACACCAATAATCATACAAATATTTGCTTATTAATGCTGAAAAGTGTCATTTACATGCATCGTTTTCAATTAAACGACGCCACAGAGGCCCGGGTCGAACGCAAGCGATCCGAGATCCCAGATCCGAGATCCCAGATCGGCGATCCAAAATCCCCACGCGCCGCACCCAAAACCGAACCTTACCGCTCGCGGCCCAAATACGATCCCAAAAGCCCCTCGGATGACGCGTGCAAGTGGAACCAGGCGCTAGGTTGGGGAGCTGGGAGCGCAGGGAGGTGTAGATTGCACAGAAAGAAAATTAATTGCTCGCAAAGATTAATTGTTGTTTCAAAAATATGGTATTATTCGCCCACACATTCATTCTACTAAACTGGAAAATATTAATTAACCAGCTGGCCATCTTAAGTTTTTTTGGTGAATCCACAGAAAGGTGTTTTATAACAAAACTAAATTAAATTTTAATTTGAAGACCCAAGTAGGGGTTCTTTAAGTTGGACTCGGAATACGGTTTTTCTCGATGTGTTCCAGGGGCGACCGCAAGTCAAACAAACAATTAAAGCGTGCATCCAACGGCTGGGAGATGCAGCTCGAATCCAGAATGAAACTGGCTGCAAGAGGCGGGAGCACAATTTGGGGGGCAGGGGCTGCTCCTCGGCATGCCGAACTGGAACTGGAAGTCAAGTTGGCTGTCAGAAAAAATGATTATTTAAATAAGAGTCTCTCGTTTGAGCCTCACTGCAACCGAACTGTCACTGAGCAATGATCTGCTGCCTCGTGGCTCCCCTGGAATCCCTGGGATGCTGGGGCTGCATCTTGGATTCTGGTTACTGGATGCTGGATGCTGGAAGACGCTGCTCGCTGTGAGCACATGCTTGGGTCCATCTGTCATGTCATCCATTTCCAGGCAGGGAAACAGCATAATCAGCAATCGCGGTTATAAATGGTAGCATTCGACATATTGGCATTCACGCACATACCGACTGGATGTCCGCTGACCGCTGACCAGTCCGCGATTCAAAGAGTTCTCTAATGTGTTAATCAGCATTTTTCAGTAACCAGACCGAGATCAGTTGAGGTTGGAGCAGGCAGAAAGAAGGAGCTTGCTCCCATTGCCATGAAGATTAATGGACATTTTTACAGGGATTTGTCGCTGACTAGGAATTGGTTTAAGATACACAAATACACACGTACAACTTTCCACTTTTTCAGTAACCAATATCAATCAATGCGCGAAATCTCGAAAATACTTTTGGCAAGATTATGATGACACCTAGATAAAACTAAAATTAGCTAAAGTTGAAAAAATAAACCACCAAGGAAACCAAAAACTTATCCATCATTCAAATGTCAGTGTTAAGGAATTTGGAACTCTTAGGAACTTAGGAGATTCGCGTATGCGAAAGAAATCTAAAAATACAATGTTAGTAAGTTGAAAGTGGATCCTCTTTAAAGCTAGAAAATATTTAGTATCTCTTCAAACATTTTAAGACAGTCCCTCAATATAAATACCCTCCCTCCATCATTGATTATCTCCTATCATTCGAATTTATATCCCTTATTAGCACCCAACTAAAGTTTTTACGACCTGGTGTGGTGATAATTCTGTTTGTTTTTATTAGCCTTTGGTGGGCCCTGTCGTAATTGAAAAGTTCCCATCGAGGCGGGTAGCCTTGTTGTGGCTGAACAGTTTAATTAATGCATGGCAACTGGAAGTTCGCTGCTTTTTCTGTTCCTGTTCGTGTTTTATTGTTTTTTAAACGATCTACCACTTTGTTCGTGAATTTCGCCCAACTCCCCAAGGGGCGGGTGGGAATTTCCACACGCAAGGCTACTGCCCAGAAAATATGAAATATGAAAGAGCTGACAAAAGTGAAGGAAACTCGAATTAACATAAATGTTGTAGGAAAAACGAAACAGCAGAGAACTTTTGGCCAAAAGGCTGCAAAGGTGTTAGTTTTCTGGGCCACCAGAAGTTCAGGGGTCAGGGGTCAGGGGAGTGGCCAAAGAGGGGCATTCGCTTGGGGTATTCAACATTTATTTGATGTGATGTTTTGATATTTCTTGACACCAACACGCGACGCGGACCGAAGAGCGACGAATGTGCCACAATGAAAACGAAATGAATTAATTACGTGCATTTCAAAACAGAAATTGGTAAGATATATAAACCAGCTAGTGGCGACCGAGAACCCCGAAACAAAGACCCCTGCCCAAAACGAAGCAGACTATTTAAATGAAATGATATTGTGGATAGAAAAGTGACCACCAGGAATGCGAGATAACATCAAACGCTTGCCCAAGCCCTGCCGAACCGAGCCGCACTGAACCTAACCGAACAGAACTGAGAGCTCGACCAGGAGCCCCGCCCGCCTGTCTGTCACCGACATCGTCATCGTCAGTGGCTGGGGCCTTGCTTTGGTCCGGGTCACAGAGACCAGTTGGCTAGGGATCGCAGCGTGAGCGAAGAGTGATCTAAAGCACTATCGAATACCCGTTACTCAAGTACAGGGTGTGCTAGGCAGTGGACGTCTTCTGGAACGAACTTGCGCTGCGTTTACGTCTCTAGAATCTAACGTCGCCTAATCTTGTTAGTCGTGATCTTCCGTGATCTTATACGGACAGACATACGGACAAACTGGCTTGTCCAGAATATATATTCTTAATAGGCTCGGAAACGTACTTCTTCCTGGTACAAACTTTTAACGAAATCTATGATTCCCTGCTACTCGACGATTTAATTATCAAATCGTCATCCATGGAATTTTAGACATGGTATAACCCACAAGTTGACTCCAAAGTAAGTTGACTCCAATATAAGAAATCAATTGAAGCGACTTTAGCTTTATCGAAAATATAGTATTTGTGGTCG